TATGTGTTTGTGTGTGTGAGTGTGTTTCTGCAGGTGCACTGCTCTTCCTGTTAATGTCATGCCTATTATCAATTATTCATCGTTTTATAAACCTGGAAGTCTCTAATAGTTCTAAAGGGTCACGTTGCACTATAAGTTCTACATACATTCTATAAGGTACAGGACAGAAAAAGTGCAATGCATAAACCTTGCCTTTTTGCTATCACATTATTTCCAGATATATTACGTGCGTTGTAATTTCTTTTAGGACATGATAGGTGTTTTCTCTTTTAGAAAGAGTAGCTTAGGCGAACTTAGGTTTTACAAGCAAATTTATTGTTTGTTTATTTATTTATATAACGGATGCCCTCGCCATGGCGACGGCCTCACCCCAGAGGATCCTGGGTAACGTGCTGGGCGGCGTGCTGGGCTCGAGCGGGATGGCGGGGGACTGTCCTTTAGCTCAGGAGGAGATCATAGAGATTAACAGAGGTGAGAGACTGAAGGGATACACACAGATTTTCATATGCACCACCAAAAAGTCTTTCATTGACTGGTTTTAAACTCATTATGGTGGATTCTGTAAAGGAATGGATGCAAGGAGATGAGAGATATATATATACACACACACACACACACACACATAATTATTTCTGTTGATTTCCATGCTTGTGTGTTTATATGTTTATGAACAACAAAAATTTATATTTTATATTATATATCTTTAATTGTATGTATTATACATCCGTCGTTTTATTAATATTTTTAATTAGCTTTTAGTTATATATTTTTAGTTTTCAATTTAATACAATTTTAAGGAATGTTGTTATGTGCTTTTGTCATTTTTTTTGTTTTTTTATATATATTACTTGTTAGGATTAATTTATTTTTATTTCAGTTTAAGTTTGTTTAGTTTCAGTTTTTATTTATTTCCAGTTTCACTTAGTCAAACTTATTTCAGTTAGTTGCCAAGGCAGCATTTCTAGTTTTTCATCTAATATAATTTTTTTTTTAATTTCAGTTTTATTTTAAGTAACAAAAATTTTTAGTTTTAAAAGCTTAAGTTTCAGTTAATGATAATAACCCTGGTAAGGAACAGTGAATAAATTCCTTATTCACTGCTACAGAGCTTGGATAAAATTTTTTTGAAAATGTTGATTTATGAACAAATCATTGTTTTGAATCCAATCATTTCAGTGAATCGTTTGAATCAGTTCTCAGAACTGGTGTGAAATCAAACTGATTTACTTCTCAAATTCAACTCACCGACTCAAAGAAGGAAAGTCATACAGGTTTAGAATGACATGATTAAATGATGACACAATTTTCATTTTGGGGTGATCTATTGCTTTAAACTTTATGTTAGTATTTTCACCTAATTCTGCTGGAACATTTCACCTTATTACAGCTGTAGCCAGCGCCGCTCTAGCAAACGAGGACTGTCCAACAATCGATCAGGTTCTTAGTCCGAACGAGCGCAGCCCGGTGGGCCGAACACAGGAATGCTACCAGCAGGACAGAGCCTGCTTCCTCCTCAACACGCGAGAGTTTCGACCCACGGATGGGAATGTGCGGAAAGGTACGTTTTAGTGCTTCTGCACACGGGTTACACACACGCACACACACACACAGTCACACAGTCATGCAGTGAAGGGAACATCAGTCTCAGCCCAGTCCCAGTGTCTGTGACAGATGTATTAGATCTTAAAAATCTAGTTAATTAACATAGTTTACACACACAAGCATCCCGTAACAACCTCCCAAATAACGAGTTTTACACGCTGATCTCACGCTATCTCTCTCATGTCCATCTCTCCAAAAATACAGATTACATAAGCACTACCACTGATGGGAATGTGCGGAAAGGTACGTTTTAGTGCTTCTGCACACGGGTTACACACACGCAAACACACACACAGTCACACAGTCATGCAGTGAAGGGAACATCAGTCTCAGCCCAGTCCCAGTGTCTGTGACAGATGTATTAGATCTTAAAAATCTAGTTAATTAACATAGTTTACACACACAAGCATCCCGTAACAACCTCCCAAATAACGAGTTTTACACGCTGATCTCACGCTATCTCTCTCATGTCCATCTCTCCAAAAATACAGATTACATAAGCACTAAACATCTCAGGGTGTTTTCACACTTGGTTGGTTTCAGGGGCTGAGAGCATTTACAAGAAGTCCGGCTTACATGTCAAGTCAAATTTATTAATATATCGCTTTTTACTATACACATTGTTTCAAAAGCAGATTTTCAGAAAATAATGATGTTAATGTTTATAATATCTGAATATCTTCATGCTTAATAGTCAAATTGTGTGATGATATACTTCACATTTTGCCACAAAGAACGATTTATAAAAATTAAGTGAGTTTCATGCTTAAAACTAGAAAAAAAATCTAAATTGATTCAAAGGAAAAACTAGAATATGACAGATTGACAGATATTTTTCTTGTTTTAAGCATAAACTCACTTAATTTGGATACATTTTTAATAAAGTAATAAACATTTATCAACATCAGCAATAAATTCGACATAATTGTTAGACATCTGTAATTTAACATAAGACTAAAATACAAAGTAAGAAAATATTTGTTTTTTGCAGTGAATACAAATAAAGTTATGAATTGCTGTTTGCAAATATATTTACTTTTTTGTGAATGTGAATAAGCTTACACATTTGTCTATGATGTACCATAAACGCATTCATTTTGAGACTATTTTAGCTCCATACTTTCAGGACACAAGGACATGAACAGCTTATGCTATTTTAATAATAAGATTTTAATACAAAATAATTAATTAATTAAAAATATACAAATATATAAGACAATTAATTAATAAAAATATAATGAATTCATTTAATAATTAATTTAAATGAATAAGAAAACAAAACAAAAATAAAATAATTTAAAACTGCACACATAAACTCAGATCTTCCTTCACTTTTACTTAACCTTTACTAGGCTGGAGGGTTTAATTCGACCACCTTTGGTGCATCAGTTTGAGGAATCATCATTGAAATGTATTAATATTTTACAATAATAAATAAATTAGATAAAATAGATTAAATGTGAAGTGTGTAATTTCTGAACCAATAGCAGCACCAAATGAAATGACAAAAATATTTACCAGCAAACAGATTTTTGACCAGTCTTACACCAAGTCAATGAGCACTAAAATGGGTCAAAATGATATCTGAACCCACTTTTCAGGCCAGAAACAATGTGAATACAAAGTGAACTGGATTCTTTTCTGGTACACCTCAAGGAATCTACAGTACATTTGGTGAGTTTAGGATTCAAGTGTGAAAACATCTTTAAAAACACACTGATAACAGGAAAATCTTTCTTTTAAGCCTTTTGCTTTTTCCTCTTCACTTTCTCTATTTAAGTTTAATGGTTCTTTGCATGTCAGTTTTCCTCAATTTTTCTTTCCTGACATGCACTATTCTCTTTTTACCCTCTACATCAGGGGTGCCCAAACTCGGTCCTGGAGGGCCGATGTCCTGCAGAGTTTAGATCCAACCCCAATTAGACACACCTGAACCAGCTAATCAAGCTCTTACTATGCATACTAGAAACTTCCTGGCAGGTGTGTTAAGGCAAGTTGGAGCTAAGCTCTGCAGGGGTGCCCTCCAGGAACGAGTTTGGGCACCCCTGCTCTACATTCTTCCATTCTCTCTTTTTTTTTTTTTTTATGCATTGCATTTTCCTTGATCCTGTTCATTTTCGTTTTCAGTGACAAACCTTCTGTTACACACAACATCCCCCAAAACTTTGTGACCCTGTACTGTCACCTCCAACAGCCACACAAATCTCCTCTCCACCCATTAAAAAATGCACAACAAATGACACAAACGATGTTTGATCCATGCACACACAAGTCTCTGAACCCAATTTATCCCTGGTTGCCCTTTCCTCAACACAACCCGTCTCCATTTGGCACTGTTAGAGTCAGGAGTTCAGTCAGCGATCCACTGCTTACAGACGAATAGACTTTAATGCAGACTTCGCTTCAGCATGGATCAAACCATAGTATTCAGAGGTAAAAACCAACCACAGAAATAGAAACATACTTAACATACATGCACATAAAGTCCAGTTTTTCAAGCCATTTAGCACCGAAACCAAACACAAGCACAATTACACCTGCATGGGTGTGTCGTTGTTGATGGGTGTCATTTTTTGTGTTGATGTTGTGTTGTTGTCCTAACAAACTGTCATTAGTTTCATTGGTTAAAGGAAATGAATCTAATGTTGTATAATGCTGCTGAATATGAGTTTAAGGTTGGGTTTCACATGCTCTCTGACAGATGCATTTGCTCTTGTATGTTTTTGCACCTCTTAAACTGCTGACCGTCCCACTCTGGACAGTCAATGACAAAAATGTCTGTGCACTGGGGAGAATTTATCACCCAGTTTAACACTAGACATGTAGAAACTCAGCACAAATAAAGTGAGACAGCACAAATCTCACTCTGAAAGTGCATTTGTCTGATAATGCAACTTATAATATGAAAAATAGATATTGTTTAAATTACCTAAATATTACAGTTAACTGTATTATTAAATTAATAGTTACTTAAAGTTAATAAAATAGGGCAAAGGTCATCTAAATGTAAAAATATTGAAAATGAGCACTGATAGCAATAAATTAAAATATTTCTAATACTGGTTGATAGTTATGATAGGTTAGGTTGCTAGGTTAGGGTTACTGTACCTGCTAGGCTTCTATTGTAATTGTATGACTGTAAAAAAGGCTAAATTATTAGGTTGAAAAAAACCTGGAAAGTTTAAAGATCCATTAAGGGATATACGTACCGTCTCATGAAGAGAGCAGAAACCCAATCTTTACTCCGACGTATTCAGGTCTGTTACACTAACCTCATACTCTATAATGAGAAAAACATGCATATGGGACAAAGTTGGACACTGTAGAGTTTGTGTAACAAAGATTGTTTGTAATGTCATATGAGATCCACTGCAATTACAAATGGAACTGCAGCTGCTGTGTGTGTGTGTGTGTGTGTGTGTGTGTGTGTTTTCAGTGGGATCTCACACGCTCTGTATTGTCTTTTTCTTCAGGTTGTGTCATATCCCGCGTTTGTATGTTGGCTTCTTCATATATTCTCTCACTGTTCTACTGTCTCCTCCCGTCCTCCTCGCTGTGCGTGTGTGCGTGTGTGCGCGTGTTGTGTTTGTTGTGACGTGACGTCGCTTATTGTGTTTTCAATGTCTTTCCCTCACTCCACCGGTGACCTTTGACCCTGGCATGATGAGGCAACGCTTAAAACTGCACACACATAGAAAAACAGACTGGAAGGTTGTTTAGGTGTTCGCTGTGCCGAATCGAGTCACCCCAGGGTTAAAGGTCAGGGGTCGATAGAGGTCAAAGTGAATTCAAATGAGTGCAAGTTCTTGGTTCTGTGCCATGCTGCGAACACAGCATTCACTCCAAAAT